CATGGGCCGCACCAGTCTGCGTAGAAATCGGCAACGAGGTATGTGTTTGATGAGAGGAGGTTCGTGAACTCTGTGAGTGTTGTGGCGTGGAGGACGACCATTTTGGCGGCTTGAAGATGTGAGGTTTTGGTGTTGCGAAATGAGATGATAGTTGTACGTCGCTATGTATGGTATAGTTATTGAGATGAAGTCGTCGGCAGATCCGTAGCGTTGTCTCTTCGTTCCCACACGTTAATTATATACTGGGGACGCAGCAACCTATCTTATGAGAAAGGCTCACTTGAACTTGCTAGAGTGAGGGCGCGGGTGAGAATAAGAGTGGGTGTGAATGAGGGCATTCGTCACCGACGGTAGTGATCTCGTCAGCTTCTCTCTCCAGCGGTAAATGTGGGGTCGGCGACCGAGGAAGCTTCCAGGTGCTCCGGAGCACAGTCGAGGGAACACTAAATTTTGGTCATTGGTTGCGCCCCGCGCTGTCCTCTTCAACTAAAGCACTCAAGAACTCCACACCTGTCGCTGCAAGCAATGGAATTTGTCACTATCGCATCCCTTGCGCCTTACGAACACTACTTCACACCTGGCACGTTGCCAATTGGATCGACCCTTGGGCTCTCCTAGGGCGGCCTGCTGCATGTGCTCCAGATCGCTGTCCCATCTGTCTAGCAATGCAGGCCGCCGAGTCGGTGTCATCTGCATGGTTCCCGAGTCACTGGATCCTCATGACTTGCTATTTCTCCAACTGACGTAGTTACCATTGCTGACCACTCCATCAGTGCTCAAAGGGCTTTAGAATATGTGAGTGATTATCTGTGGTTGTAGTTCCTATTATGAGAATGCTCAGAACGTTCGTTATTCCGTCTCACACTCTTCATTGCGATCTTACCCATCGTTCTCACTCAACGCCGTCGCCCCTTATGGTGGTCTCGCCATGCTCTGTATGCTACCATTGGCCTCTCTATCATTGGAGCCAACATCAGACTTCATGAGCTCTGCCATAATGACGCTATTCTGCGCGAAATTACTGTCTCGCAGAGCCTTCCGGGGTAGAGGGCACCAAGTGCTACCGTCTTACATCTCTTTCACCAGCAAGCGTCTACAGTATCCGGTCAAGTTGAGAGTCGCTTTTTAGCACACTGTCTATATGTGAGGGAAACTCACGGTCTCGCGAAACGCCGGCCGGCCATCGTCGAGTGACAGCAACACACGGTCCCTGAAGGACTACTAACACCCTCGGCTCTCAGAATAGAATGTTTGTCTGCCCTCGGCGGCTCTTTTGGACAAAGTGTCTAGGATCATCCAGTCCATTAACCAACAACCCCTCTTTCACCCTTTGACATTGCGTCAGATGACCCCATCAGGTGTCTTGCAAAGTCGCAAACCCCCCAAACCTCAAAGCGCCCGTCGCCCCCTTTCTCCCAACTTGATCCACGGCTCTCACCGCCCCTCCAAGCTGGTCTTTCGCACCTTCATGGCCGTGACCGGCGCCTAGTTCAGCGCGAAATGCTCGGAGGACATGTACCATGTTTCTCTCCAGGGATGTCGGGGATATCTCATGTGGTGTCGGCCGTCTTGGGTCTAGTCTTGTACTGACCCTGCCGCTCTCTGACCTTATCGAGTTGATCTTGCCCCTAGAAGACCAGGCTGCCTCCAGAAGGCTCGAAGCGCCTTGAGCTGACAGCCAACCCTCATTCAGGAACAAGTGAGATGTGTATATTCTAGCCTGATATGGCCCCCACCCTCCACGGTTCGACGTTGAGTCGAGCCTCAGGGGTATGAGCTCTCTCCTTGTCCTGGTATTTTGGGATCGTCAGGAACCATTCTTGCATAGAACTGAGCGCTAGCTATGAGCGTCTCGCTGGACGACCAAGTGGCATCGACTGATGTTAGCCTGTGGCTGGTTTCCCTTGGCTCACCTTCGAAGCAACTACAGGGTGTTGTATCTCAAATCTCGGGAGCAGCATGTCTCATGTCGAGTGGAAGGGTCGCCCAGGTGGCGATGTTCAGAAGAAGGCTGTTGGAAAGGCCGCGGTCTCGATGAAGTAGGCGCTGATAAGTCGTAACAAGCCCATTCGCAAGCTCAATATGCGATGGACATGTTCAAACTTGCTCAAGACCGGGCGAATCTCATCTAGTATTCTCTTGAGACATAGAATATAAGATATCTTCCCGTGTTTCTCGAGTGAGGGCTCGTAGATAGCAAGCATTTCCTCTTTCTTGAACCAAAATTCAAGCTCCAACATAGTCGTCATATACAATCTCTTCCAAAATGTCTAGTTACCAGGCCCTCAACTTTGGCTTCGAGCTTGAGCTATCTCTCAATAGCAGCAAGAAGCACAAAAACTGGCTATCCATGGCCCAAGACACCAGCAGTCGCTTGGACAAGAAAGGAGTCAGCAATCATGTTAAGGAAAAGGTGGATGGGAACTACCGCAAATGGTCCATTGTCCAGGAGATTACGATCCCTCAGAATCCTGCCAAGAACAACTGTCAGTATATCAAGCCACGCAATAAATGCTGAATCCTGATGCTGAGTCGGCTCAGGGGCCCTTGAGCTAGTTTCTCCCGTCTTCAGCCTCGAGTCTCAGTGGCTGTCCGATGCAGACAACATCTTTTCTGCTGTCCAGAAGCACTCGTCCGTTCAGATGCTTCCCCAGTGCAGCACTCACGTACACGTCAGCCAGGCAGATCAGGAGTTCTCGTCATTCCAACTGGCCTCTTTGGGCAAGGCCATCCTGGCATATGAAGCTTGCTTCGATGCCCTCGTACCGAAGGACAGAGCTGCCGCCTACTGGTGCCAGAGCAATCGCCGGAACCCGGTGCTATCTCGTTACCAGACCCTTGAAGACTGTCTCGACGCTCTCGACGTCGCGGCTCAACGAGGGACTACCGCCGTCGTTGAAGCGATGTGCCTCTTTCCGGCATCCAGTGCGTATGGAAGAGCACATGGGAGAAAGAGAGATTTCGTTCACGGCAAAGTCTACAAGTGGAACTTTGCCCGCTTGCTAGGGCACGACCACAGCCGCACTATTGAATTTCGACAGCCTTCGGGCAGTACTTGCATGGAAGATGCCATCGGCTGGGTTCTGTTGACACTAACGTTCGTTGCTGGTGCAACTGGAGGCGGCAACTGCATCGGCTCGTTGGAGAGTGGCGGTGATGACCGGTTGGAATTTTGGCAGCTTTTGTGTCATGGAGCTGGGGTTCTTGGACTTGATCCCTTTCTACTTAATGTCTTGAGCGGGTTCATTGGTCGTGCAGCAGCTTGATCGAGTGTACGCCGTCGATCACATAAGAGCTCCCTCTTCCTTATTGCCCCTCAAGTTGGCTTCTTTCACCTCCCGCTTGGTCGTTTGGTTCTTGGAAGACCATTAGTAGCCAGTGAGTATCTTATATTTTTCAGCGGCCTGGCTCTCAATCATCTCAAATTCTGATTGTGATGATGGGAGTTTCAACCGTTGCCAAATGCACGTAGCATTTGTTCCGGCATTCCGGCAGCCACTTCCGGCCCGGAAGAGTTCCCTCCGGTAATGCTCTCCTTCAGGGCAGTACACCGTACAACTTGATGTATTCCAGGCGCTATTCTCATCTGAGTTCCAAAAGTCAATTGTATTGCAACCTCATATTCACTAATTAATCTATTCGGGACGCCGTTCCCTCGACAAATTTGGTTGAAAACAGCCTTTACCACCACCACCTACAGAACACATTGCATGACTCCCGGAGCTCTAAGTACAGGAGCCAAAGATGGATCATAAGGAGAGGAGCAGTTAGTTCCGTCATTGGACTTCAGCTGACAGACTTTTGGGACTGAATGCAACGTGAATAAAAGCCTCTTTGATCCTCCTCGAGTATATAACCATCCACACTTGGCATCCACTTCAGTCGTTCCAGTCGCCAAGCTGTCAAAAAATCGTGTTGCAACCACCAAAGACTCAGTTCGCGTTCGTTTCAACTCTTTTCAAATGAGCTTGATACGTGTCTTGGCTACCGGGCTATCAGCAGTCTTGCTCGTTAGTCCCGTTGTAGCGCAGACTACAGCACCAGCTTGGGGGCAATGTAAGTCATGATAGCCTCACCTGACCATGCTATAGTCAGTATCTAACACGATCAAAGGTGGCGGCAGTGGCTGGACTGGAGCTACAAGCTGCAGTAGCGGCTATACCTGCTCAGTTCTCAAGTAGGTCTATCATCACATCAATCAAAACCATCCGCTGACCGTTGAGACAGCCCCTATTACTCTCAATGTATTCCAGGATCCAGCACTCCCACAACCTCATCTACCAGACCTGTTTCAACGTCCACTACCCCTATCGCAACAGGCACTAACACCCGTACGACTTCTCGCGCAACTACCACTCTTGTGACCGTGACCACCACGGATGCAGGTGGCAGCGGCTCTGTTCCTACAACTCTCGTCTCTGGATGGTCCTGGATTCGCGCCGTGGCCTCGCCCAACTTCCACAGCTACCTCCAGGCCAAGCCCACCGGCACGCCCAGCAAAGCCTACCTCGATTCACCTAGCAGCGCGGGTCAGTTCAAAGTTGAGGACGGCCAACTTGTGCATCTGACTGGATCATCGCCACTTTACCTCAATGTCGAGAACCCGACAGACAAGACGCAGAGAAAGCTAGAGACGTGGTTTAGTGCAAGCAAAGGCACATATGGAACTTTTGCCTTCCAGGGCGATACGCTTACGTGGAGCACACCCGACATTAGCCGGCCCAACGTGGCTGCATGGCTTGTTTGTGAGAATCAGGAGGTGTTCATTAACACGGGGGCATATCTGTATCAGACGCCCGTTGGTTGTTTTGATCAGACTGTGAGTGAAACCCTCGACTCTTGCAAGGTAGTGCCAGGAAACTGATCTGAAATAGATTCATTCCTACGGAGGTTCGACCGCAGACCTCTAGTATTACCAAGATATGTCTACTAAGTAGAAAGAAAGCTCGACATTCAAATGCATTGTCCTCCATGTAGTGCTTCAACAAGCCACACCACAACTACTCCACGCTCTCTTCCATCTTTCTCTTGCCCCCGGGATTGTTCATCACCATGGTAGTCTCCAAGGTGAACTTGTGCGGCCCCACATAGCTTTGTGACTTGCTCCCATCTGCGAGTGTTGTGTCCTTGAAGTACGACTCGTCGAGGCGTATTCCGCCCAGCAATGAAGCATGACTAGTAAAAGCCCACCAGACACTGAAATGCATCCCTGACCCCATCGGCTCCAGACTCCATGTGATAGAGTTAACGTCAGTGCAGACCACCTTGTCGACCGTTGGTACTTTAGGACCAGTGTCCGTGTTGATGGTACAGTTAGCAAAGTCGGCGCCAGGGGTGGGCTGGACGGAGAATATGACACTGGTTCGGTTCGCGTTAGCAAAGAGTTTTGTAACGACTTGTCCCTCGCCGTCTCGTAGTCTAGCTTACAAGTTTCTTGTGCTTGGTGGAAGACTTCCCGCGAAGAACCTGTCCACTTCGAAGACTGCTGCAGTACGTGCGGAGTGTTCAGCCGGAGTAGAAGGGGCACCAAGTGCCAAATGGCAGAGAAGAGCCAGACTTGCAAGATACCGCATGTTGAAGAGAACGAAATGATCTAGTGGTGTGAATTCATATACGACTCATCTATCTCGGGGATGTTAGTGGAAATAGTGACGCACCGTCTTTATTTATGCCGGAGACACTCGGCCTCGCTCCCTTAACTCTGGTCACACTGAGCAAAATTCGACAATCCCGATAACCTCAAAGGATTACCCGAATATTCAACCGCTTTTGAATGGTCGAATGAGGGTCGCCAAAAAGGCCCTCAATCTCGTACCCAGAATCCAATATGATACCTGAAATAGAACTTCCTTGTGACAAACAGGTCATACCTAGAGAAGCAAACATCGACCATCCTGCGTTATATGAGAGTACCCAGGGCTTTGTGTAACAAAGCGTACGACTTTTAATTCCTACCAATGGGCTCCTCATCTGTGTGAGCGCCCAAGCCATGCAGAGTTCTTCAGATCCAAGTGTAGCAACAACATGAACACGCACAAAGGCATTCATCATGAACAAACAGAGTTGGTATCCCATTAACTTTTGACTAACCATCCGTCTAAACGCTAATCGTACGGAAAACACTGAACTCATCACCAGTAGCCATCAAGCTGCCAGTGATCTGGGGATGCCAGTGGAGCTCCTTGACGTTGGACAAGTAGTGGACGAACAGAAGCTGAGGCGGCACGTCCTTGACACCGCCGGTATCCTTGCTCTCCTCGTCGTCCAGCTCGACAGCCAAATCCCACAGAGTAACGGTGTTGTCGCCCGCCGCAACAGCAATGATACTATCGTCTGTGGGGTGCCACTCGATACTCGTGACCTGCTCCTTGTGGTAGTTGAAGCTGGCAATCGGCGAGGGCTTGTCGGCAGCAGAGGTAGAGCTCTGCTTCCACTGGCGCAGATCCCAGACGGCGAATTCGCCGTCGTCGGCGCCAGACGCAAGCAGATGCGTCGTGAGGGGTGACCACGACATGACGTTTACATCGTGGTTGCTGACATGCATTGAAAGCGCGGGCTTTCTGCTCTTGCTACGGACATCCCAAACGCGTATTGTGCCGTCGCTTGAGGCGGATGAGAAGACAGACTGTTCCGAGGGACTCCATTGAATTTCCTCAACGCTGCTGGTGTGACCCTGGAATGGCCGGGTGTCGGTGACGAAACCGCCGCCGTCGGTGCGGGTTGTGACGTAAATGAGACCATCGTTGTCACCGGTGAGGAGCTTTCCACTGGGAATAAGGGGGGACCAGTCAAGAGCATAACCCTCTGCTTTGTGGGCGCGAATGGTCGACACTGGCTTGTTCTGCTGCGCGGAGATGACGGTGCCCGGGTTATCGAAGGAGTAGATGTGAGGCGTAATATCGTGAATGAAGACGTTGGATGACTCGGTCATGGTGGCTGTGAGGGTCGTAGGAGGTCTGGAAGCATCTTGCGAGGGGATCTGATGGGCGCGGATTCGGTTCGTAGTCGAGTTCAAGGGGATCGCCTTGTGCTCAAGGATGGGCTCGGCGTCCTCATCGCCATCTTCGTCGTCGTCATCAGATTCCTCGTCGTCCTTCTCCGTACGGCTCAGACCGCTGAACTTCATAACCATCAGCTGGTTCTCGCCAGCCCTGGCGTTCTCTGCTTGTGTACCAGCCACGGTGTACATGGTGGCGGGATAGACCTTACGGTTGTCACCAAGACTGTCGCGGAGAATATCGAAAGACAGACAGGGCCATGGCGTGCTTAGGTTGTGCAGCATCTCATAGGTAGAAACATCGGGCGCGAGTGTCTGTCCCGCCTCAAGCTTGTTTCGTCCGACGATGAAAGTGCCCTGGTCGACGGCAGCTAAACTGGTCAGCTAAGTTCTATGCCGCGAGGCCGTTGATATCGTACCTTCCCTCTCCTCAGCCTCCCTCTCTGCGTCAGGGCGTCCGTCAATACCGGCCTCCATAATTTCGTCCTCCTCGAACTCATCCTCGAATTCGTCCTCGAACTCGCCCATGTCGGGGGCCTTCTCGTCAATCTCCATACCCTCAGGGCGATCACCTCCCTTGAGGGGGGCATCCCCCATTTCGACATCAGCAGAGCGTTTCGACATGATTTTGGGCCGTCTTTAGAAAAAAGAAATGGAAAGTGGTAATCGGGATTCTGCTCTTCTCGAAGCCGGACTGCGACCTGCAAAATCCTAGTGCCGCAGAAAAAAAAATTGAGGCCCCGCGATTTGTGGCGGCGACAGTACCCCGCGTGGCGGTGCATTAGAATGGATCACTTGCAGGGGCCGTTTAAGTGTGGCTTGACTTGAAATCGAGAGCACGTGACCTCGTACATCCGTCGCGTCACCCGCCATTCCACAGCTTCCAGGCGCACCCCCGTCCCGTCGGTGTTGATTGCCCCGCCAGGTCGAATGAGACCTTGAACACCAGACGAACTCAGGCTTAATTGTCGCTCGCACTCCGACCTGGGGATCTATGCCAACGCCGTTCCCCTCGAAGATGGTATCTAGAGGATTACCGGCACAATGGCGCCGCAGCAGAACACCTTCGCCGTCATTCCAGACGCCCCCGGGCGCGTCGGTGGCCCCGCGAACAGGCCGCCGATGACATCGAAGCAGGCTCAGAAGCTATACAAGCAGGCGAACAAGGAACCGAGACGATCCAAGACTGAACAACGGAAATGGGAGAAGGAGAAACAAGAGGAGATTCGCAAGGAGCTCGAAAAGGAGCGCGCGGCAGTCAAGGCCAAGGCAGCGAGAGAACGAAAAAAGGCCAAGGAAGAGGAGGCCCGAGAGAACAGGCGAAGGGCTGGGCAGCCTCTGTTTGACTGTCGACCAAGTCAAGACACGATCGCGCGTTTCGTACGAGGAAATGGTTCGCACAAGAAGAGAGATTCATCTGGAGAACCGATACCAAAGCCCGAGACTGCCTCTGCCGCCTTGGCCGATATCAAGCCGAATAACTTGGCGTCAACCGCGGCTTCCAAGCCTCCTCTTCAAATCGAGTCATCAGAAGAGAGAAAACCCTCAATTGGCTCCATGGCACCACCTTCTCGTCCCTCACAGATAACAAAGTCGGCCATGTCATCTGTTCAAGGCGCAACTACTTGTGAAAGACAACCTTCGGCTGAAGGAGTCGTGCCGAAGCCAATAGACAAAGATGCTCTCACACGACAGCCCCTGAAGCCGCTATTCACGGCACCAGAAAAGGCCCCAGCTGTAATGGCTTCCATTGGACCTCCTCCACGACCTGCTGTGAAGGCCAAATCAAGGCCTTTCATGATGCCGAAGGCGACATTACCAACCCATCAGCCACCTCGGCACAAAATTTTCAAGCAAAAGCCGTCTCTCCAGCCTTCTATCCAGATCAAAACAGAGGTCTCCCTGCCAAAAGAGTTGCCATTCCCAAAGTCTGCACCGCCAAAGTCATCAACGGCGATGCCTCCGCCTCCAGTACCATCACAGAAGCCCAGAGTAGAGGCTGCAGAAGACACAGCGCCGACGGACATTCCCATACCAATAAATGCACCATCACCAGGAGTCCGATCGAAACAAATTCTACCGCCACCAAGGCCATCAATACCGCAGATGCCTCTACCAAGCACACAAGCAATCGTGCAAAATTGTTTCGATGACTTCTTCCCCACAGCCTCACAACTCGCTGTAGAGCTTGAAGAGGATTTCGATGGAGCTCAAACTGCACTGCCTTCACGTCTGAGTGCTCCCATACCAAGCAAAGCTCCTGCTCAGGGGTCTACCGGACCTCTCAGTCGACCGAAGGAGACAGGGAGCCTGGCGAACGAAAGAAACTTACCACCAGCAAAGAGCAACTTCTCGGCCATACAAAACCATGAAAGCAACTTGAGTTCGCGGCATAAACAGATAGCCAACCTAGGGACACATGTCCGTGCAACACAACCACCAACCTCTATTACCAACAAACTCCAGACCCGACATGGGCTGGCTCAAAAGGAGCAGATTCAGAAACAACAGCAGCAGAAATACATGATGCCTCGAGCGGTTTCTGGCCCAAAATTGATCACACATGGTGTGATTGCAGCAGCACACAGTACGCCTCTAGTCAAGCGGCAGGGTGCTCCGCCACTCATTGCACCCAACCGGTTTCCAAATCGTGGCATTCTTCAGGAAATCAGTAGCAACCACCGGCCTGCACCAAAACCTACAGTTGCAAAGGCTTTGCATGTTTTTGACGACTTTTTCCCCTTGATCTGCACTCAGGACCTGATGATGTCCTCTCAGGAGGTGCTGGATATAGAATCCCCGGCCAAAGCAATGACACAGTCATCTTCAGGTGGACCGGTAACAAATTCTGCCTCGTCACTCATTGAGATGGATTTGGGTTCTATAGATTGGGATGATGACTTGGATGATTTTTGATTTGATACATGCATACACGGAAAGGATGGAACAAACGGGCATGAGGTCCAGACCTGAGCATCACAGCGCGTCAATGATTAGCAATAGGAAGGCACTTCTGGAATTCTATACCCACAAAGACGCAAGAGCATGAGCATGCCGGTTGCTCCATTAGGAGACGAAAGATTTTTCCTCTTTTTCGTTAGTAGCAGATGCCAGACCCAAGGGAGAGGTTCCGAACGATGATAAGACGGAGCAACTGAATAGAATTATTCACGAGAAGACTCTATACAGGGGATTGTTTGCGCTCCCTGCCGCTAGAACTATGTGCTCGTGTCCTTGATCATGTACAGCGCGTGCCGCTACAAGGAAAATCATCCGCTGAGAGACCTTGTCCCTCTCACTGGACTCCTCAAATATCAAACCCCTCAATTGAAGGGAGGAAGCAAGCCTATACCGTTACCATGGGAATCTCTGACCGATCATGTGATGCCATCCCACCCCCAAACGCCGAGCTAATGCCACCCATGCAACCGGATGACGCCAATTCTCATTCGTCTCTTTGAAAGACTGACTTTGCGTCACTCTATGCCGCAGCTCAAAGATAGATTCCAACCCAGGCTGTCTTGTTCGTAGCCTGTGTCTCGCAACCATCGACTGCACAGGTGAGTTTGCTTTCATCGTCGCGCCCAAATCCGGTATTCGGGCGCTTAGCTACCGGCTTGCGATTCTCGTAGCAGTCTTCGCAGTAAACCTGGTACAGCATCAGTAAAGTGAGTGGGACGCGTGTAATGTTGATCCTTACATGTCCGCAACCCTTTAAGGCCCAGAAGTGATGTTCACTGCGCTGGCGCTTGTTGCCCTTCCGCGCAGATTGCTTCCCGTTGACAGGCATGTCAGGGTCGTAAGCCAGTTCCTCGTTGCATGCGGGACAAATCACAACTAAATCGGAGGCGGTGTCCCTCGTATATCCAGGTCTAGGAGGAGGCGGAGCTTGGTGGACTGGTTTAGGTGATTCGGCGCGTTGATCGAAAGCGCCGTGCTCGTATTGAAGTTGGATATTGCCAAGGGGGTTATTCAGGTCTCCTCCTTGATTAATACGATTGTGCAACATGCCGAGCAGCTGTACCTCGTCCTCAGGACCAGGGAAGAGCCTGAAAGGATACAGGTGGCGCCTTAACCCAGCTGCTAGCCCACTGAATGCACTTCCGTTCGGGTTCAGCATGAATCCGACCGGCTGTCGACTGCGATCGCGCTGACGAGGTGGCTGTGGAGGCGGCGGTACATGCGTACGTCTTCGCGGAACTTCGGGCGAGTCGTCGGTGAGGTCGATGACGGGTGGTGCATTGCCAGCGAGAATGCTACTGTCACTCCGCGAGAAAGACGGCGGGTTCCTGCCTTGGGAATGTTGTCTTCTGGGATTCGTCGGAGGTCGAGGAGCATGTCTCTGGATAGGGCTGTCGGGTTCGTTGGTCAGGTCGATGACATCGGCAGGGCCGTTTTGGTTGGTTTGAGGTCTCCTCTCGTTTCTATCCTGTTCGAAGTACAGCTCCAGATCCACAAGAACATCGCCTGAGCCATTATGAAGGGCGGCACCGCCTCCACGTTGCCCTCGCATGCTTTCATCTCGACCACCTGGAGGTGGCATTCTTTGTTCGCGGAGCTGTGGCAACTGATCCATCTCGGCAAGAAGCGCAAGCTCAAGCTCGTCGGCAAGATCGGGAGAGAAAGGGTCCGAGTCGTTAAATAGCGGATCGTGAGGGTCAATCTCGAGTGACATCAAGGACTCTGAATCGGACTCTGAAGGCTGTGCCTGTGATTGTGAATCAGACTCAGGGTCCCAATCCACCTGCGCATCGGCTTCGGAGTCGAATATGCTTGAGCGGTGATCGACCACGTCGGAGGAGGATTCGGGAATGTAGCCTTGGTAGGCGGCCTCGATGTCGCTATCGTCGTAAAGTTCTTGCTCAGGCAAAAGAGATGCTACCGAGGGAGAAAGCGGAATCGTAGAGAGCCGAGACGGAGAGGACGCAGTCGATGCAGAAGCTGATATTGAGGGAGAAAGCGGAATCGTAGAGAGCCGAGCCGAAGAAGACGTCGTCGATGGAGAAGATGGTGGAGAAACAGAGCTCATATTATGTCTATCGAGCCAATATGGGTTGGCGCTGGAGAAATAATTAGCTTAAGTCCGGCAGCTCCAGTCAGCATGTGGCTACGCACAAACCGTCTGTTCCTCGGGTAGGTGTCTTGCGTGCGGGAGGAAAGTCGTAGTCGTGAAGGTCGGGTCGTATCGGGAGACGTAAAGTAGAAGTGAATCTCCTACGACGGGCACAATGGTGAAGCGACCATCCCGTGGAGGCTGTTGGTGTGATCGAGATATGGAAGAAGGAAGAAAACCCGAGGGCGCTTCGGAGCACAAGGAAGAGGCGAGGTCCTTGGACTTGCCCGTCGTGGTTGTGGTGTTGTTAGATTGGTGGCGGTTAAAGGTCAAGTGCGGGTCTAGGCCATTCAGCGGAAAGAGCGACGGATGGTTTGGCGCTTCAGCCTTAGATAAGCTCGCACAGTGCAGGCGCTGCAGGGGGGCAACACCGCCGATAAGGCAGGAGCACCTCTGGACTTTCAGGGTAAGGTGAGGTAATTGCGGCGGGATATTTGCTAAGCGACGGTGCCCTGCATTCCCCATTGTCTCCATGCAAGCTCACAAGGTAAGGTAGAGACGGTAATATGTCCCTAAAATGATTATGTCATAGTCCCGAAAAGGGACAGAAATGTCAGGATGCACGTTCGCCCCAGCACACTACCTTGTGAATAAGCAACTGCCTCAAGGTGTCTCGAGACATCTTTAACCAGAGTCATCAAGCCTTTCACTTGACTGATATGGGGATCCCGATGGTTTTTATTTGTTCCTTCGCGGTTTTCTTGCAAGACCAGAGTACTTCATACTTCATACCTTGTGAGCCCAAGACTTCGGATATCATTTTAGATGCGACTCTCCTGTCCCCATTACTTATAATACAGATCGCGAGACATGCATGTCTGCTTATTCTTGCTTGACTCCAAACACTGAAACAACGCCCTCCTCGTTGACGGAGACCAACTGCTTGGCCCCAGCACCCCACTGGACCGACAATGCAGCCACCGACGTTCTGAGGGGCTCTGACCATTTCTTGGAGCTCTTGGTGTACTGTTGGACAGTAATGCCGCCGGCACCCGCGGTTGCCAGGAACTGCCCACTGTAGTCCCAAGCAAGTGACTGCACTGGGCCCCCGGTCTCTAGTGTCTTGACCTTTGCAGCATCTCCCTCCTTGCGCAGATCGAAGATGGTTACAGAGCTCTGACCCTTGGCTGTGGCTGCAAGCCAGAAGCCGTTTTCTGAGAAGGTCAGCGCCTCGACAGCTGCGCCGAGGTCGAACGCAGCCGCAACCTCCAACGTCGTTGTCATGAAGAGCTTAATCTCGCCTGTAACGGTTCCAGCCGCGAAGAGGTGTCCATCGGGGTGGAAAGCAGATGATGTGAGGGCTGCGCAGGTTAGCAGGCTGGTATAGGAGTACTGGGGGCTTTAGTCGCTTACCAGAGTCGGCGTAGGCACGGCTGATCTTCTTGAGGGTGTTGAGATCGTACAAGACAATGCTCTTGTCCGAGCCAACGGATGCGAGGAGGTCGCCGGTAGGATGAAGGCTCAAGGATGTTGCAGAACCTGCATGTTCAGAGATTGACGCAACTTCGCTACCACTCTCGAAGACCTTCATTGATCCCTTGCTCGTGGCAAAGATGAGCTTGCTACCAGTCCACACAGAGTCGATGACCGGCTCGTTGACCGCAACTTGGCGTTCGACCTGGTCTGCCTCAATAGAGTATATCGCAGCATCTCCTGAACGACCACTGATGGCCGCATAGCTTCCTTCGGTGGCCAGCGACGAGGCATTCGAAACCGGTGTTGAAGTGGATGCCACAGTGGTCAACAGGGCGACCTCTTCGGACGTAGCCCAGCCCTCAGGGACCGGACGCTTCTTGCGGCTCTTGGAGAGTCTGTGGCTTGTTAGTGAACCGTTCTAGAGTTACCCATGCCTGTGCCTTCTGGAAGACTGACTCTTGATGCTTTGCGTTGACCTTGTCAACCCATTCCTCCGGAAGACCTTCGGCCGAATCAATAGCCATGGCATCCCCATTTGTGGCTCCAGCGCTGACGCTGACCTTGGAAAGCGCCTCTCTAGCCTCATCTCGCTCCTTGGACAGACGCGCAATTACTCTGACCGCGGCATCGTGTTGGTACAATGCTGTAGCAAGCTCCTCTCGTGTCCTCGCAAGCTGTTCTTTCAGGTTGAACGTCTCGAGAGCGAGCGCATCCCACTCATTCTGGAATGTCGCAAGCAAGGCCGGAATCGAAGTGAGCGTCGGGGGTCGGGGTCGGACAACGTGAGACTGTGTCAAAGGAAGAAGGTCCTCGATCGTCAGGGCTTCGCCAGTAACAGGTTCGGTACCATTCTCCTCGATGTATTTCTCGATCAATCGCTTCTCGAAGACGGTGCCTAATTACAGTCAGCATTTTGGGGATTGACGCGACCAGGCGCAAACACGTACCAGACTTCTTTGAGGCAACGGGCTCCTGAGGAGCTTCTCCAGAAACTGAGAAAGCAGTCAGCAGTTGCGCAAGATACTCCCGAGTATTTGAACCTACTGGCGCACAGCATTGTCTCGAATGTAGCGATATGAGCCGTCACAAAGTTCGTCCGCGTCAACTTTTCCCTTCCAAAACAAAACTTCAGCCTTGCCGCACCTGCTGTTCCAAGGCAGTGTGGGTCTTGCTTCGCAGCTGGTGAGCACGAGCCACTCCATCACGTGTGGCTAGTTTTGATGGAATGTCCCGTCATCGGCGCCTCCCGTCCTGACTTATCTTATCTCTATCTTATCGCAACGTGAAGTATCGCTGACATGAGGTCTACCTTACCTACCTAGGTAAGGTAATACCAAGGTACCTCATCAAGCACCTTCCACTGCCTCAAAAGCGATGTTAAAGAATAAGCAGGTCATGAACGGTCATTTACTCATTGCTTCATCATAATTCAAAACAGCGAAGTGCAATTTGCAGTTCACTATGGCTTCTCTACCTGACGTCAAGAGTCTCAACTCCCTTCCCGTGGAGCAGCAGGCCAAGGTCCTAGATGCGCTCTTCGAGCCGAGCCCCGCGATTCACGCCTGTCTTCTGCCCTCTATTTCCACAACATCTTTCCAGTCTTACGACGAGTTCATCAATCAAGCTCAAAAGATCTTCGAGGCTCTTACGGCGGACCCTACACAAAAGGCGCAGCTACACTCAATCATCGGTTCACACCCGCGTCTCGGGGCCAAGAAGGTTGAGAGTGCTCAGTCCGCCGCAGAGCAAGCCCAGCTTCAGAGCGGAGACGCCACAGAGCTGGCTGCGCTGAACGCCGAGTACGAGGAAAAGTTCCCAGGCCTACGTTACGTGGTGTTCGTCAACGGTCGAGGTCGGCCGGAAATCATGGAAAACATGCGTGCTCGTATCTCGCGTGGTGACTTGGCTCTCGAGGAAATCGCCGCCATCCAGGCAAGTTGCATCCTTGAACTTGGATCCTCGAGACATTCTTCTAACGAGATAGTAGGCAATGTGTGATATTGCCAAAGATCGTGCAGCGAGGCTGCTGGCCGCTTCAGGATGAACGGCATAGAGCGTCCTCGAAGACATTTGTCGGGTTCAATCGTCTGATTCATTTCCTAGAAAAGAATTCCCAGCCCCCGTCTAAGCCTATAGCACATCCCAAATCTAGCTTGCCTATGAGAAACTGTCCGACGCCTTCCTCGGTCCAATCACAACTTGGCGTTCTCGTCCAGCAGTCTCAAAAGTCTGCCAACACGCTCTGCCTCACGGTAGCCGCTGACGACTGCACCAGCCACGCTTCCACGGTTTTCCATCTCTGTGTGCTCACCGGCAAATCCGAGTCTTCCATCCCATACGGGCCTGCTTAGCTCCTTGAAGTCAAGTGGGCTTCGCTCCCCATTTTCTGAAATAATTGACGGCGTGGTCGTGGCACCGCGGGAGAACTCGTCTGTCAACCAGTTGGTCAAGTTGGTCTCGATCGGCTCCGCAGGCTCAGATGATGGCTTGAAGCGAGAGACAAGGAACTCGTGGTAGGCAGTCGCAACTTCCTTCTGATCGAAGCGGAGCAATGCGGTAGCAGGAGTTTCGGAAAGGTACGTCAGCAAAGTCGGACTAGGGCCAGGGAGAGACGGCCCAGCGAAGTTGGCGCAGACCAGAGTCGACGCCTCGAAGATTTCGGCGGGGGTAGAGCTTTCGGTCACGGGCTTCGTAGATGTGGGCAAGAAAGTGTAGGATCCTGCTTTGTCGGCCTCGGGCCACCAAGCTGTCTGGTACTGGAGCAGCAACTTCTCCAGGACACCGACGTGGGTGCCCTTGATTACCTCCTGTAGGCGCGGCGGCAGCGCAGGGTTGAAGGTGCTTTCAGGTAGAGTCTTGAGGGTACCGAGCGGGATGGTAGAAATGGCCGTCTTTGCCGTGAATTTGTTGCCCTTGGCGTCGACAATTATAACTCCGTCTTGACTTTGCGAGATTTCAGTAATAATTGTGCTCAGCTTCACGTCAGTGCCGTTGGCCTTGGCGTCATCAAGGACCTGTTTGACCAAGGCCTCATAGCCTCCCTCAGGGGCGGCATCAGAACCTCCAAATGAGGTGGTAGTCTCCCATCCAGCCCACTTCAGAGAAGCTTTTTCGAGCTTGAGTCCCAGGGGAATCTCGAGGGAGCGGGCAAGGCCGGCTGCCAGATCCTTCTGAGATGAACCTGATGCGGGCTGCGTCGCTACCTGCGTCGGGTCAGCAGGGCTGGTTTGGTTGACGTCTGAGGAAGGATCAGGGGATGCAGAAGCTGAGAAAAGAGCCGAGTTATCAGCCAGAAGGGCGGATGCGAGCGATGTAGATGGAGAGGGCGCTGGGTGCGGGAGCTTCAATGATGCCTGAGCAGCACCAAGGGACGCCCGCAGGTTGTCGGCGTTGGAACTTGAGAGACGGCCTGTTCTTTATCAATACAGAATATCGCGGTATGGGCCAGAGTCTCACGCACCAGTTGGGCCGTAGATCACACCCTCAGCAGCCTTGGGTAAGTGAGCGGCCTACTCCATCTCATTAGCTTCTGATCTCTATTACTCAATCGCGTCCATGTCAAACTCACAACGCCAAAGTCCTGGGCGATATATCTCGCGGGGTTTCCTTCTTTGTAGCCGTGGATCCAGCTGCATCCAACATCAATCTTGGCATCTCCCTTCACCCACGTACTCGCACGTCCTCCAATTCTGTCTCTAGCCTCAAGTACCAACACTTTGCGACCCTTGCTAGCAAGCTCCCGAGCGGCAACGGCGCCGGACCAGCCGGCTCCGATCACAATTGTGTCCAAAAGTTGATTGCTCATTGCTACAATTCTGCGTTTGAACATGTGTCTGAATCCTGAAAGTTGAACAAAATGTTGGGCAATGGGCCTGACAATGTCGTGCTTCAGCTTCCCGGGTTAAATCACCCCGCCCCAGTGTCCCCGCCATCGTCCCCAGGCCCAACGTCACGGCGGGGCCCGGGAAGATGTCCGACCGGGCCGACCATCGGAACTGGTGGGGGTTCCTTCTGCGTCGATTCCGTTGTAACACCGAGAATTGTTCTCATTCTCTATCGCACCCCGCTATCAATACAAAATCCCTCGATACGAAGAACCCTCGACACGAATCACATCTTTCAGCCTGATTCCAATGTGACTTCTTCTTACTCTCCGGACTTTCGGACGTCGGAATTCCGGGCGGAATCATGGACGGAATTGAAGGCAGGTTGAGGCATAGGCCTCCGGCAGGCAAGTATTGCCTTTGAGTGAGTCTTTTATTTCTCTTCTTATTCACTTTCATCTATATGAAGGCTGAGTCTGTAACTCGACGCCTGCTTTATGGCGCCGTCTCCAATAGCGCATGATGGCCAATCCTCTCTTTTCCTGCCAGGCCAACAATGACAGTGAGTGACCTGCTTACGGCGCTCATCTCATATGTCCTTAGACAGAGCCAACTGGCCATCCCGTGGCCTCAAACTTGGTCGAAAATATGCTCCTCGAATGTCGCCTACGCATTGATAGGCCAAATCTGATTCTTGCTGCTTTTTTCTTTCTTTTCCAACCCAGCCCACCCATTCCGGTGCTACTAGCCGCTTTACTTTTGTCTTGGATTCGAAATTCAACCAAATTGGTTCTCCTTTACCCGTCATCCAACGGCACTACCTGCCGCCGACCCAAGAAATGCCATCCAGCTCATCGAGATACTCTTCGTAGGAGCTGCCATCGTCGTCAGTCTCACCAGCCTGTGCAGATCCTCCGAAGATGGCACCAAAGTCAGAGTACACATCTTCCAAATCGTCGTCGTCGGCCCACGCGTAGGAACACTCGTGTGTTGATGTGGGAAACGCCAGCAGTCCGTCATCCTCCATTTCGTCCAGCATCGTGCTTGAAGGAGCTAGAACTGGTGACCGGATTGGGTTTAACCTCGGCGATACAGGTTGTATCCGAGTTGATTGAGGCGTCCATGGAGGCGATGGCTTTCTTTGCGCCTGGGCGGACAGGGCATTCGTTGGATGAGGAGTGCCTGGAGAGATTCCGGGTCGCATCAGAACAACCCTTGCTGGCAGTGGCTGCTGTCGGTGTTCTAGGTGTGCTGGCGATTGTGCAACAAACCTAGCTCCTGTGGCTAGTTGCTGGCCGTGGTGAAGTACAGCCGCATTGGCAGCTGTCACGGCGATACCGATATCACCGCGCTGTGTCGCCTCATTTCGGACACGTAGCCGAATCCTATTGAGTACTGCCGCTCTCAACATGATGGAGCTCTCTCGAAGTAGGCCCTGTTTGCCGACCTCGGGCGAGGTGGCTACAGCAGCCAGCTTCACGAAACGCTTGTCGCCCAAGGGACCGGCTTCACGGTTGATGATATGTGTCGCGGGTAATGAGTAGGGCTGAGAAAGTCGACTTGTTATGAGATGAAGCCTCAAGCGTCGCTTTTTACAACTCAGCCCGGCTGTGTATGGGCCGTCAACATCGGACTCGGCTCTAGCACGCTTTACTCTATTGAAAGATGAGGGCTGGCTCGAGAAGACGAAGTTGGCCTTCTCCTGGCTGGGAGGGAAGACGAAAGGTGGTACTGTCGGCGGATTTGTGGGTGAAGAGGTGATTGAGTTCGTCTGGGCAGTTTCAGCGGATGTTGTTGCAAATATCTTTGATCCATGCTCTGGGCCATGGGCACTGGTGGTAACCAAGGTGGTTCTGAGGATTGAAGCTGAAGGGCAGTTGGACTCATGCTTGGCACATCGTCTCAAAGCCTGTGGCGAGAAGAGATGGGGGTCGATGTTGATACCGCCATCGTCTTCGCAAGCTGAAGTTCCGAGGCGCCATGTCTTGAAGGGTTCCAACGCACTGCGGTTCAACGAACCGACTTCAACCACCATTGTTATCTTGTTGTCTCTGCTGATACCTCTCGTTCGGATGGAAGGAGACGACCACTCGCTTCTTCCGGGTGACTGAGTCGCGTTGGTAGAAAACAATGCTCGGAGAGCCGGTAAATATCCCACGGCCACTCCCACGCCCGATCTAACTACCGTCCGCTACCAACATGGGGGCCGGATGACGTGACCCTACAGAGAATCAACAAAGTACGTCGAAAGGTTAAAGCGGCATAAGAAAAGAAGATGATGCTGGAGTGGAGCAGCCAAGGTAGATGACGAGAAAAGGGCCCTTACGCTAAGTGCGAGCGACCTTCCTAGCAGGATGCGTGACAGAGAGTGGGGAGAGCGGGAAAGGCGAAAAGGCTGATGCCGTCCGCAGCTGCAAGACAAGCACGAGACCCCGTCTTCTATTTATTGCTCTGCTCCGTACGTACTCCATACACGGTGCCCGTCAGACGGGTCCTCAGGCGAGTGCATAGAAAGCGGGGAGAGAGGCACAGCGTGAGAAGGGAGATCAGCACAAACCGACGGGGCGGAACCGCCCATTCGAACTTTGAACGTGACCAGCTGGTGTTCCACCCCCTTCTCCTCTCTTTTCGAGAGCCCGAGAACCGTGCTACCCATTGACAGGACGGGCTAAGAAAAACAAAAAGTCGTGGTTTGACTGATGTGTGGGCGTGTGAGGGAGAGTCGACAGGGGTCGTGGAGGTGGGAATGGGCAGAGACCTGGGGAAAGCTGGCAAGGGGCGAATGAGAGGGTCGGGATGCGCCGGTCACCCCCGGTCCTGCACCAACCCCGGTCTGGGGTCCAGGGGGGGGAGGAGATGCGAGTGACATGGGCGGGAAATTTGGGGCGTTTTCAGCCTTCAGGCAAATGGACGGACATGCGTTGGGTACGGAGTAAGAGTAGTTGTGTATGTTTGAGTAAAGTAAGCATGCTATGCAGCGTGGTATACAGGAGCAAAAAGAAGTCGGACTATGTGGAGATGTGCTTGTGGTTCTTCCGTGGCTTTATTGCATCCGTGTTTGAAGCGCGTCAAGGTTTATCACAACCAGGGTACTCTGGACACTAAGAAGACTATGTTCAACTATTAAGAATGGATCAGGAATCGAGCTACTATATTACGCACTTGCTGTGCGTTGGAAAAAACAATCCCGACCTGGAGTTAGAGGTCAAGCCCGGACGGATAGATGCTACGGTACGGACAAACAGGGAGGCAGAGACATATTTCCTGCACCCCGGACCGGGTGGTCTTGTCCGGCCCAGAGGCGATGTGGCAAGCTGCATAAGAGAACACCTAGACCACTTTCTTGACCGACTGGTTTGCTGACCTCTTCTCCGTTTGCCTATTGAATGGACGCTCGGAAGCTGGGCAAAGGCACGCGTCAACAGTGGAAGCTGGAGTCGTGGGAGGATCTCACCGAAGATTCCAAGACAAGATGCAGGCTATGTTTCTGCAGACATATCCATAATCCAGCCAGGTACTTAGTCTACAGTCTGGATGCTTACCACCAAATTGTTCGCCACTCGGCAGGTTTTGGCCTTGTTTCTCACATTCCAGTGCTTCTGAGTGATTACTATCCGAATTTGTTTAGTTCAATATCTCCGATGTTGCAAGCAAGTGCAATTCCTGAATTTCCGGTCAAGTTTCATGGATCTGGCACCAAGAGCCCAACGTTTCTTTTTCTCGCGCAAGTGGCTTGGGTCACCCGCTCTGCTGGATTTTCGCCGCCCCTTTTGACCACGCTTGCGATATCGCAGCATTCAAGGTGATTGTTAGCTCGAGGGCCTCATTCTTCACTTGTGCCGCTGTCGAATTGAGCCCACACCCTTTATGTTGCCAGATCCGTCATAGGTCGTCAGGTCCTTTTTGCGAGAGTTAAGTCTCCAGTGATAGGTCTACAATACCCGAGCTCAATGTGATGACTACCTTAGCATGTCAGGAAAGGATACCTTGAGACAGATGATCTACTCCTTTGCCTCCCCGTCAAAAACATCAGTCTCCTTGCTCGCCTCCCTGTAGTTTCTCGAGTACCGAGAGCCTCGAACGGTCAAAGCGACACGGGATGCAACACCACAAAAGGAGCAGCCAAGCACAATACCGATGTGACGCCAGCAAACTCCCATTTGTTACCACACTTTGCGGGGAAACCAGCCTCGTCCAACCATGCCCCGGGTTTTGGCTCTCCTATCGTGTACGTGCGTTCACCGTTTACGCCTGTTGTCAATCACCACGGGGTGCATAATGCAGCGCTCGCCGCTGCGTATCCAACGAGAATTGTTCCGAAGCCGCTCATCGGCTGCCAGCACAGCTGAGAGGGGGGCGAGGCGAGACTTCGAATGCAGGATGCCCGGAATGGCATCGTACGGCAATGCGTACCCCCCCCCCCCTCCTCCCTAAGCCTGCTCACCCGCGGATGGCTGCTTGTCGCTTGCTTGCAAAGCTGGTGGTATTGAGCCGCTAAGTTTGAAGTGGGAGGGTCACGCGTGGCCCAGAATATTTTTTTTTCGCTGAGAGTGATTATGAGCTAAAGGTTCTTGGGTTGAGGGAGTATTTGTTAGCCAATGGGCTTCGTGACGAATGAACATTCAAGGCTTGGTGAGAGCAACAAAACTAGTTGTGCTAGGCGCCTGTCAGTTGCGGCAAAGACATCAGAGAGGTGCCAGGGTATACCCCATCTCGGGTTACCCATCTTGGGAACAGAACTAATGCTATGGGTGTCAGCAAGAGGCAACTTAACTCCAAGCAAGTTAAATAGTTGTGGATGGATGGTTTCCAAACCAATGCTTCTTTACTAGGTACTCTTTTCGTGATCGATCTTCTTAGATAAATTCTCTCTGCGCTGCTGGCTTGCCTTTCCAACACTCCAATATTTCCATGACTTTGACTTGCTAGGCAAAATCAACTCATCGCTTAGGGCTTGAAAGAATGGAACGCCCGCAAGCTGCGACATGTTGCATGACAATCCCAGTTTTTCGAGTCAGCGATGCCCAAGATGGACTCAGTCCCTTGTTCAACTACCCTTCATCAACTACCCTTCAGGGCCAAGCGGCCACAATTCCCATCACCTGTCAAAATTTTCCGCTTACACAGGGGATACTGGGGCCAAAGCGGCGCCACACTGCATGTGTAAGGTGACAGACAGGCAACCCGACTAGAAATCAGCTGAAGTTCGTTCTCGGTCAGTTGAGAAGACGGGTCGCCGACGGCCCCAAGGGTCAACATGTCAGCAGAAGTTCGGGCAAACAGGTGGGACATGTCCATTCTCCTGCAGGGTCTGAGAGGAGGGTAGCAGCGGCTTTGACCTCCAGAGGCCATGGTATGTGAGGTATGTATGGTAGTAGCAGGGCCCATTTTCAGTCAGCTGTGTGCAGCGCTGGGTGGGACAGCGTCTTGTCCCAGTCACACCTAAGGTGCTTGTACGCCGTAAGCCTTCAAGGTCTTCTTACATCAGCCACATGTTGTGGATTTCGCCCGCCGCTTGTACGCCGTTGTGACCGGCCCAAAATCACCGGCACCCGTCGTTTTCATGTTGTATCCAAGGCCGAGGAATTATGGGTATCCCCCGGAGACCAAAGCCGGCATCCCCACAAAGTGCCGCGGCGATCCTTGGAATGGAGCGGTGGACTCGGCGCAAGAGACTAGCCGAACCCCATAAGAATCATCTGGGGGATTCCCCTCACATGGGGTGCCTCGGCTCCGCACCGAGACTCTGGCGTGCTGAAGTTCTGGAGAAGGAAGAAGGGCAGCTCCGCACGGCCACGGTCCCCGCCATAGAGCTCCTCGTCCCGAGGTACAATCTCGTCCAGGTCTCAGAGCGTTGTTGGGGAAAGCTAAGCTGAACTCCCGAAGCTGAACTCCAAACCAGTCATTCCCTTCTCCGAGCTCCAAAGTTTCGTCATTTTTTTGGCAGGCAGAATATATTTCAAAAACCGTTCAAGCATCGCTCGTCGCGTCGTATTCCGTGATTTCGCCAATCCACCCAGATCGACGTTACTCGTTCCCTTGTTGTCTTCGTTCGGCAGCCCCACCACTTGCTATGTCCAAACTCTTGTTCGACGATGTCATGGCACTGGCCCTGCTGCCAACTACATCGAACCATACGACAACGACAGGTAGCATCGTCAAGCGTTACATGAGTCTCTACCCAGCTTGGGTACCAGGGTCAGAACTTGTCGGCGGCAAAGGCCGCGGGTCCAAGGCAGATCCTCGAGCTGCATACGGAGGGCATGTTTACTGTCAGGCGCCGCTAGCAGCAAGCCGCGCCGTGAAAGAAGAGGAACCTGAAGGATCTGGAACGCAGTCCGGGGGTTTTGGGCTTCACGTGAGACTGGAATCTGCTGCCTTGAGTGGAAGATGGAACCGTCGCTAACATTGTAGCAAGGCCATTCAAGGAGTCTTCTCGGCTGCCGCCAAGTCAGACAGGCCATTCATATATGAGGTCACTGTTCTATCGACTAGCCGGACATTCTGCTCCCGCCTGGTGACTGTGCGCCAACCAAAAGAGACGAGCAAACGCGGCCACTATGAAGACAACTTCTTATTGGAGGATGCCGAAGGGCTTTTGGGTGATATCTGCTTCAGTTGCATATGCACCTTCAAACGGCCAGAGGAAGTCAGAATCGTTTCTCAAGAAGAGCCACCGCAGAAACGCTTTGCCGAAATTCTGTCCACCAAGTCACCGCAGAACTGGCCGTTCGCACCGGCAGTCGATGTGGAAGAAATCAAAGCCATGTTTCCGGATGTTGGCCAGACGACGTTTCCCATCGTTGACATGCACAAAGTCGACTTGACGGCTTACAATGAGGGAAAGCCGGTTTCGGAGAGGAAGGAGCTTCTCCTATATCGTCTTAAAGGCCCTCTTCCAGCGGACGATCCCAATTCGCATGTGGCTGTCCATGCGTTCGAGTCCGATCGCAACGGATTATTGATGATAGGCAACCATGTTGGCCTCGGATGGAGTCTAGGCACCGCGGCCAGCTTAACGTACAAGTTTGTCGTTCATGTCAATGTCGATCAAGCCGTGATGAAAGACGATGGCTGGTGGATTCAGGAGGCATCGTTTCCCCGGACCGGCCACGGTCGAGGGGCATTGGTCTGTAAGATGTGGAGTCCTGAAGGCATACATGTCGCCACCGGATATCAAGACGGCATACTTCGAGAGCGGAGAACAGATGCGGATAAAATAAGCCAAAAGCTATAATGAGATGCTACAGCGTAGATTTATGAAGGGTTCGGTTAGACCATTGTAAGCTTAAATAGATCTGACATAGATGAACAGAAATGGGATACAAATAGGAGATGCGTAGCTTCCTGTTCCCTTTGTCACCTCAGTAGATTCATTTTTACTAAGTAGAGACCATCTCACCGTAGGCACCTTGTCATCTTCCTTCTTAGAGGTCGCTCAAAGGAAAGTACATAATCAGTCGAAGGGTTCCTGCGTGTCTACCTTACAGATCGCTTAGGAGGAAAGATCGCATTTGTATTCATTCATAGATCACTGAAAGGAAAGATCGCATGAGTTTTAAGATCGTTCCTACCATCTCCTTTACAGATCGCTCAGAGGAAGGATCGCACTGCTTTAAGATCGTTCTCACTGTCTCCCAGTCTATAGATCACTAAAAAGAAGGATTGCACTGATTTACAAACGTTCCTGCCATCTCCTTCCATAGATCGCTGAACGGAAGGACCGTAATTGTACAAGATCGTTCTTGCTGTCTCTTTCTATAGATCGTTTAACGGAAGGATCGCTCTGGTTTGTAGACGTTCTGACTATGTCTCCTTTGCCTCCTACAGTTTGACGGTATGATTCCCTAAATTATCCCGTCGTTCCTACCCTCACTACTCGTGACTTCCGTACCGATGTCTCCTCTCATTCGCATCTACGTTCCTTCTCTCACAGCCTCTCCCGGGGCCTTTCTAAAACCCACGCTACCTTTCCGCTTCTTCTCCCATTCACCACCAGAATCCTCTAGCCTCGGTGCACCACTCTGATTGATTCTTCCTCAGCACACCGCATCAGGTCTTTTCCCTTTAGCACTCCACAACAATCAGCCCTCCCCTTCCAAGCTAACGACTGGTATTCTCATTGATGACATTTCTAAGCATCTTTGTGAGCTTGGGTGGTTTAGCATACGTTATTCACCTAGCATCTCATACCGTTTGCACCTAGGTACTTTGAACTCTCCGACACACAGATTGGGTTTCCTTTTTGCCACGTCCCGACCATTCTTCATTTATTTGAAAATGCCGTCATTCGCTGAGGTCATTTGGGTAAGTAAATTGTTCATGCTACAAATGGCTCGCAACTATTAACTCGTAATCGGGAGACAGGACTCAGAAGCCACGATGGACCCGACTTCGCCCTCGTACAACAGTGCGCCTGTCCGGCGATCGCAATTGCTCACGTCTATCTCAGAATTGAGACAAGGAATCCAAGCTGCTGAGGCCGAGATTGATCGCATTGAGAACCGGATCTCATACAAAGAGGACTGGCTCAAAGAGCTTAAATCTGAAAGCATCGCCGCTGATATCCCTAAACCGGCAATTGACAAGGCCATCAAGCAGACACAAGCACTCATCAAAGAGATCGAACAGACCCTCATTGCGAAGACAGATGAGATCGCACGCCTGAAAAGCAAGCTGAAGAAGAAGGAGACAAAGCTTGCAGCGATCCCACAAATCGAGTCATCCAGTGCGCCCAACCCCAAAGACAACAAAGATGCGGCAGCACTGCTTGAAGTCACAGCCACCCCCGTGAATGCCATCTTCACAATCAGTGAAGACGGCAAGACCTACCTTAACCCGCCCATGCTTCGGGGTGTCCCAGTCGCACCCATCAGCGAAACCGGCTCATACTGGAACCCCTTATGGAAAAAGTTTGCAGAGGCAGTCAACGAAGAGAAGGTGGAAAGGGATTATCAAGAATATCTCTTGATCAGACATCAGCGAATGCTCCAAGGACCCCTCCCAACATCAGAGGATGACCCAGAGCATGTCTTCAAGAGATACCAGCGCAGCTTGCGGCAAGCCAAGGTCACAACGCAGTGGTTCAATCCAGGACACACAATCCATCCTAATCAACTCATGGCAAAGGAACACTTGCCTGAGACTGGGATCTGCGACAACTATGTTCTCTACAAGATCTGCAACATCCTCAGCCGGGTCAATGCTATGTATGAGCGCGGAGAGCTGGGAATGCCGCCTATTCACTTCCTCATGTGGAGGATGAGTGTCTCCCTGGAGCGCTTTCCACACGACCCCATGAAGTCATTCTGGCGCGTCATGGTTGACAAGAACCACGGTGCTTACGACAGCATTCTTCGGCAAGCTGAGATCAGAGGTGCACAGCATACCGGTGACTACAACTTCTACTTAGGTCGATGGAAGCAGGCATCTTCTGCCAGAGAGCAGACCTATTCGTCCGCATTGACGGGTAGCAGATCGGCCGCCTCTGACGCAGCAATTGCACAGCCTCGAGCAGGTTTCCATGAGGCCTTTTTCCAGCAGCAACAGCAGCAACAGCAGCAGCAGAATCTGCGTGAGCCTGATTCTAACCTTACCTTAAACCCAACAGAGGCGTTGAGGTTGCAAATGCAGATGCAGACATCTTCCACACAAGAAGAGAGACGACATGTCAGTGATCGACGCAAGACGCACCACTCTTTAGAGGCCTTTGATACATCGACCTCTGATCACGACGGTAGCTACTCGCGCCCTGCCAAGAGGCTGCGTCAGTTACCACTGTTCACAGAGGATCGTCTTGCAGTTCGAAGCAGACCATCTGCTGAGAGCATGGTCTCGAGCCATTCCTTGATCGGACCCATTATGGAGACCGAGCCTTCTATGGATCTTGAAGCGGAAATTGGACATGGAGCTCACACTCGGACATCTACATTCGGGGTTGTGGATGCCCCAATGGAGGATGAACTTCAGCTGGACAGCTTCGAGAAGAGCATGGCCGACAATGATGATTTGGCAACCGAGGCAACGGCTCCGATTCCCCAAACTACCAGCGTCGAAACCCCAGTCGATAATCGCGAATGGATTGACATGTTTGTCGGCTCGGAAGAGATCAGAAGACAGATCCAGCCCACAAACATGGAGGCCATCAGAGCTTCAGTCGGAGAAAGTCCTTTCCCAAAGGATACTGGAAGAAGAGTTTCTCACGGATTTGTCTTCCCCTGGTACCACAGCGAGGAAGCTCAGAAGCTGGACGAGCTGGGATTCCCTTTCTAGACGCGACTGATTCGGGTATCTATCTCTATGGGAATAGGCATCTTTTTGGGAGGACATAATTGGCATGAGAGTTAGTTGGATGGATGGTAACGGACTCGGATAGGCATTCAGGTCGGAGGAGTGGCTTTTCCCTTTTTGCTCTTTTTCTTTGCTTTTTTTCATTGCTTTTGAGAAAACCTCCGTCGCCGTCTTGGACCATCTGTGTACTGAGAGTGGATGGCAGATTGAGATGGTGACCAACTCGGATAGGCTCTCAGAGAAGTGGCTGGGTTTCTGGAGAACAACCTCGTCACAATTCTGGGCCATCTAGTTCCATAACAAAACTAGCTGGTGAGCAGCTTCAGTTTAGCAGAATACCTCTGAAATAGAATAACCTCAAAAATCGTGCCAGTCGCATCCTTTGTAGCCTGCATCTGAAAGCGGCGCGGATGAAAGGGGACGAAGCTATCACGGCTCTGTAATGCTCCAGCTCTCATTTGGTAATCTGTTCATCACGTGATGCTCTGTCGCTTACGATTCCGGTTATGGCAAGTACCTTGGCCAGTGCTCTCTCTGCGGTCTCTCTGACTGGTGGTTCCCCGTAGCTTACCCGACAGCCGCAACATCAAACCATCAAATCAGGCCATCGACAAATCCCTCTCTCTTCACCCAAACCCGACGTCACAACAACGAACCTCTCCTCTCTACCACCCCAATTGCCGTCGCCATGTTTTTGCAGCGCTCCGCCATCATGGCTGCCCGTCGGGCGGCCGTCGCTCCCCTCGCCAGACGCACCTTCGCGACCTCCATGATCCGCCGTACGAACCCCAATTGAAGGCCCCCCCCAAATCCCGAGAAGAAAAAAATAAGCCTTGCAGCGAAGCCATTCCGAAAGTTCCTTTATCGCTGACTCTACGGCCATCCGCGGCCACAAATAGGCGACGCCAACTCCTCTACTCCCGCCAAGCCTTACAAGACCATCACCGGTAAGGTCTATCGAGCCAATTGATCCGAAATTATCGTCGTTTCCGTCCCGGCGCGGTTCCCCGGAATGCCTAAAGCCCGACCACATGCATCCCTTCGGACCGCGTCGTACGATCGAAGCGATGCACCAATTTCGAACGACTTGGAAGATGAGGACAAGAAGCTAATCATTTTCATTGCAACAATACAGAGATCAAGGGCGAGGACGACCTTCACGGACCTGGTGCCAAGCCCGGCAGCATCCCCACCGATCTCGAGCAGTCCACCGGTCTCGAGCGTCTCGAGATTCTCGGAAAGATGGAGGGCGTCGACATCTTCGACATGCGCCCCCTCGATGCCTCCCGCAAGGGTACGCGATTGACCCCTCTTCGAAATTCATGCGCGAGCACGAAATCTAACTTGATCATTCAGGCACCGTCGAGAACCCCATCCCCGTCCGTTCCGCCGGTGAGGAGCAGTACCTCGGCTGCACCGGTGTCCCCGTTGATTCCCACGTCACCATCTGGCTGACCGTACGTGCCCATGGACCCGATTGAGCTGCCCAAAGAGCTCCGTAACCTGACCAAACATGCATAGATCTCCCGCGACCGTCCTATCGAGCGCTGCCCCGAGTGCGGCTCCGTCTACAAGATGGAGTACGTCGGTCCCACTGATGACCACCACCACGGTCACGACCACCACCACGGCTACGAGGAGCCCAAGACCTTCGCCGACTTCGTCAAGCCCGAGTACCGATACCAATAGATGCTTTCGCAGATGGCGAGCACGTAGCAAGGAGACTGGAGGCGAGACGGCATCGGGGTTGCTCTAGAGTGAGCATGGCAGATGTGTAGATTACCTTAAGTTGTGGCTGTATAGAACCTTTTTCTCCCGACTCCTGTTTGATGACTCCTCGCGAGTGTTGTGTGACGCCAGTCAGGTCGTCGTTGTTTCGCATGGCGGCCAGGACAAGAGTAAGAGCCGCAGCTCTCGTGGCTTGACTTGCTCCCTTGCGGATAAGTGCCCTACTCTTCCCGCGTGTCTACGTTGTATTTGATGGTGACGATGATGTCCGCCCTGATCGTAGCACGCCTCATTCTGGATCGAAGCTAAGTTTAATCTTCTTCCCCTTCTTCTTAGCAGGCTTCTTCTTGGCGCCTTCGTCGTCGTCACCGTTCTTCTCACCCTTCGTCACGATCCTATCGGCGACAGTATCGTCGTCTGCATCACCGCCAACAACCTTGCCAGCCTTCCTCTTCTTGCTCGCCCCAATCCCAGCAATCTTCTCCGTCTCCCTCTTCTCCTCCTTGGTATCCTTCCCTACCCCCTCCTCCTCTACTCCATCCTTCTTCAAAGTATCCGCCTCGACGCCGCCATCCTTGTCCACCCGTATATTGACAACATTGCCGTCGTCATCCACGACCAGCGGCGCGTCTTCTGCCTCTTCGCTGTCGGAGCGCTTCTTGCCCGCCCGTCGCCTTTTCGAGAGGATCTCATCTGGGCCTCCGTTCCCTGCTGCTTGTGCTTGGAGAGCGCGCAGAAATGGCGGGATGTTTGTGTCGTAGGACAGGTTTTTGCCGGTGATTTTGTCGGACATTGCGGCGGAGGGCGCGAAGCCAGTGAGGCGCCTTTACTTAGGTTTCGTCTAGTTCTTGAGATAGTTGAGGGCGCAGGTTTAAAATTAAATCAGTCGCTGTTTTCTCGGCGGGGAATGCAGCCGTGACTGGACCGTCGTGGGCGGAGAGTGTACGATAATGGTGGTGAAGCAGCTATTGTCAAATGCCAGTCCTCGCGGTCATTCGCACCATTAGTCCTTGAGGGGGTGGAGACAGTGTTCTTCAGTGCTCAATCAGCATCTTTAGCGGATAGCGCATCTGAACCTCGCTAATCTACAGTGAAAACACGCTACTCCGCCAAACAGCAGACGGGAACCGTCCAGGTTACCACGGAAGGACTCGACTGACTACACGACTTCTCCCCTTCTCAACTACCACTCCACCAAACCCAGCACATTCACATCACGTATGCAAGCAAGAAGGGGTTACACTCTCAGATCAAGAATCTGTATTGCTGAAACTTTTGAAGAACGAGGTCACTAATCCTAATGACTTTGGTATCTAATGCAACGAAAAGAACCTCCCTAATATCAAGCGGTTCCATGTCTGTACCAGCCAACTCATGGTTGCCGCTCTCCAACGCCGGGCCGTGTAATGCCAGAGCCAATGCCATAGAGACCCTGCCAAAGGGAACTATTCCCTTGATACGCAAAGAAAGACTGTGATAAGGCACACGTAACGCCATTGAGATCTTAGACGATCTGCTGGATAAAGGTAGGACCCATTGTCACGCCGGCCGAAAGAAAGTTCGTAACCGGGAGGGACGTGATGGGCACAGCAGTCAGAGTGCCAGTGTCCTCAGCACGGCTGAGCGCCAACACACCCTCTCCAGTACCGTCCGTAGTGTTGAACACATTGGTAGAGAAGAGCGTCTTCTCATCCTTGGAGAAGCTGAACATGCGGGGGCTGATGCCGCCAGAGGAAATTTGATCGACGAACTCGAGAGTGATGCCACCGGCCTTGGGCTTACACTTGGAGCCGCCGGGGGCGGCCTGCTGAGCGATTTTGAAGTGAGAGATGGAGTCGGTCGCATTACCGCTGTTGCGGTTGGAGACGTAGGCGTGCTTTCCATCAGCCGAGATGATAATCTCGCCAGCGGCAGCGGTGGTAGCGTTGGCGGGAGGGAAAGCAGCGCCGTAGGTGCTCAGCTCCGAGGTATGAGTAAGGGAGAGGGAAGAGCCGTTGGTGGTAGAGACAGAAAAAACCTCGAGGGTGTTGGTGAGCTCACAGGCGACAACGAAGGCAGTAGGCGTGCCTCCGGTCTGAGGGAACCAGGCGCCGTGGCGAGGGCCACAGCCAGCTCTAGAGACGCTGTTGCGAGACACAACCTCGAACTTGTCATCCTGGGAGTCGATGATGGAAATGGAGTCGGTGCCGAGGTCGCAGATGGCGAAGTAGCGACCAGAGGGATCAAGAACCGCCTGGTGAGCAAAAGACTTGGTCTGACGCTCCTTGTTGGGACCAAGCTCGCCACCGAGAGTGATGTTCTTCATGTACTTGAGGGCGCTGGCGTCAGAGATATCCCAGACGTCAACGTTTCCACCAGTGCTGAATGATATTAGTCAATGACACTTTCCAAGGGGCCAGGATCAAAATAAAATAACAGAAGAAAGTGGAACGTACTAGGCAGCGCCAACAAGGCGAGTCTTGTCCTTGTTGAACGCAATAGAGACGACACCCGCAGAGCCCGTAGCCTCCGCAGTGAGCTTGAGGTCGTTGTTGGTGGTATCGAGCTGGAAAGAATCAATAAAAAATCCCAATGAGCAGGTGAGTTCAAAGACTGCTGAAGATTAGAAAGAGAGGTGACTTACAGTGAACAGACGGAGGTTGAAGGCATTCTCGTTGACAGCGTAGAGAAGGTTGGGCTCCTTGAAAGCCATCCAGCTGGGACCAGTGCCCTCGGTGGTGTTACTGCCCACGATGTTGAACGACTTGCCATCGTAGTCGGCAACGGAGATGGTGTTGGTAGAACCAATGATGACCTTAGATGAGGCGGCGGGAGCGTCCTGGCGGCCGATGACCGCAGCAGAAGCAGCCGCAGCCGCAACGATAACCGAAGTAAAGCGCATCGCGATGATTTGTGTGAAGTTGAAGAGAAAGAATGAGTGTATTGAGTGATCGGTATTGAGCAGTCAGGAAAAGAAAGTGTAAAGAGTAAGTGTGAAGTGTGCGATGGAAGAAGCAGAAAAAGAGTAGAGACTGGTGAGTGGTGAGTGATGGGGAGAAAAGTGAGTGATTGTGAGTGAGGGTGGGTGTGGGAAATGTGTGAGGCAAAAGTGGTGATCCAGAAGTAGGTGGAAGGAAGGAGCAGCCGGTCGAGGTAAGGCAGGCAGGTACGAAATTTTTCCACGGATTTTCGCAGCAGATGAGGGAACAGGGCTGATTCAGTTCAGTCCAAGCAGAGCTGAAAAGATTAGTGATTTGCTGGTGCTGAAGTGAATA